ACCCAGTAGTGCAATTGCTGGGTCATACGGTAGCTCTATTTTCAACTTTTTGAGGAACCTGTTTACTGTTTTCCAGAGTGGCTGCACCAGCTTGCATTCCCACCAACAGTGTAGGAGGGTTCCCCTTTCTCCGCATCTCCGCCAACATCTGTCATTTCCCGACTTGTTAATTTTAGCCATTCTGACTGGTGTGAGGTGGTATCTCATTGAGGTTTTGATTTGGATTTCCCTGATGCCGAGGGATGTTGAGCACTTTTTCATGTGTCTGTTGGCCATTTGGATGTCTTCTTTGGAAAAATGTCTGTTCATGTCTTCTGCCCATTTCTTGATTGGATTCTTTGTTCTTTGGGTGTTGAGTTTGATAAGTTCTTTATAGATTTTGGATACTAGCCCTTTATCTGATATGTCATTTGCAAATATCTTCTCCCATTCTGTCGGTTGTCTTTTGGTTTTGTTGACTGTTTCCTTTGCTGTGCAAAAGCTTCTTATCTTGATGAAGTCCCAATAGTTCATTTTTGCCCTTGTTTCCCTTGCCTTTGGCGATGTTTCTAGGAAGAAGTTGCCGTGGCTGAGGTCGAAGAGGTTGCTGCCTGTGTTCTCCTCTAGGATTTTGATGGACTCCTGTCTCACATTTAGGTCTTTCATCCATTTGAGTCTATTTTTGTGTGTGGTATAAGGAAATGGTCAAGTTTCATTCTTCTGCATGTGGCTGTCCAATTTTCCCAACACCATTTGTTGAAGAGACTTTTTTCCATTGGACATTCTTTTCTGCTATGTCAAAGATTAGTTGACCATAGAGTTGAGGGTCCATTTCTGGGCTCTCCATTCTGTTCCATTGATTTATGTGTCTGTTTTTGTGCCAGTACCATACTGTCTTGATGATGACAGCTTTGTCATAGAGCTTAAAGCCTGGAATTGTGATGCCACCAGCTTTGCTTTTCTTTTTCAACATTCCTCTGGCTATTCAGGATCTTTTCTGGTTCCATACAAATTTTAGGATTATTTGTTCCATTTCTTTGAAAAAAGTTTATGGTATTTTGATAGGGATTGCATTAAATGTGTAGATTGCTCTAGGTAGCATTGACATCTTCACAATATTGTTGGATCCTATTGGCTAGTATTTTGGTGAGAATTTTTGCATCCATGTTCATCAGGGATATTGGTCTGTAATTCTCCTTTTTGATGGGGTCTTTGTCTGATTTTGGGATCAAGGTAATGCTGGCCTCATAAAATGAGTTTGGAAGTTTTCCTTCCATTTCTATTTTTTGGAACAGTTTCAGAAGATTAGGTATTAATTCTTCTTTAAATGTTAGGTAGAATTCCCCTGGGAAGCCATCTGGCCCTGGGCTCTTGTTTGTTGGGAGATTTTTGATGAGTGCTTCAATTTCCTTAGTGGTTATGGGTCTGTTCAGGTTTTCTATTTCTTCCAGGTTCAGTTTTGGTAGTTTATACATCTCTAGGAATGCATCCATTTCTTCCAGATTATCTAATTTGCTGGCATATAGTTGCTCATAATATGTTCTTATAATTGTTTGTATTTCTTTGGTGTTGGTTGTGATCTCTCCTCTTTCCTTCATGATTTTTTTTTTTTAAGATTTTATTTGACGGAGAGAAACACAGCGAGAGAGGGAACACAAGCAGGGGTAGTGGGAGAGGGAGAAGCAGGCTTCCCGCTGAGCAGGGAGCCTGATGTGGGGCTCGATCCCAGGACCCTGGGACCATGACCTGAGCCAAAGGCAGACACTTAACAAATGAGCCACCCAGGCGCCCCTCCTTCATGATTTTATTTGGGTCATTTTTCTTTTTGATAAATCTGGCCAGGGGTTTATCTATCTTATTCTTTCAAAGAACAAGCTCCTAGTTTCGTTGATCTGTTCTACTGTTCTTGTGGTTTCTATTTCATTGATTTCTGCTCTGATCTTTATTATTTCTCTTCTCCTGCTGGGTTTAGGCTTGATTTGCTGTTCTTTCTACAGCTCCTTTAGGTGTAGGGTTAGGTTGTGTATTTGAGACCTTTCTTGTTTCTTGAGAAAGGCTTGATTGCCATATACTTTCCTCTCAGGACTGTCTCTGCTGTATCCCAAAGATTTTGAACAGTTGTGTTTTCATTTTCATTTGTTTCCATGAATTTTTAAAATTCTTCTTTAATTTCCTGGTTGACCCATTCATTCTTTAGTAGGATGCTCTTTAGCCTCCATGTATTTGAGTTCTTTCTGATTTTCCTCTTGTGATTGAGTTCTAGTTTCAAAGCATTGTGGTCCGAAAATATGCAGGGGATGATCCCAATCTTTTGGTACCAGTTGAGACTTGATTTGTGACCTAAGATGTGATCTATTCTGGAGAATGTTCCATGGGCACTAGAGAAGAATGTGTATTCTGTTGCTTTGGGATGGAATGTTCTGAATATATCTGTGAAGTCCATCTGGTCCAGTGTGTCATTTAAAGTCTTTATTTCCTTGTTGATCTTTTGCTTAGATGATCTGTCCATTTTGGTGAGGGGGGTGTTAAAGTCCCCTACTATTACTGTATTGCTGTCAATGTGTTTCTTTGATTTTGTTAATTGGTTTATAAAATTGGCTGCTCCCAAGTTAGGGGCATAGATATTTACAATTGTTAGATCTTCTTGTTGGAATGACTCAGTATGATATAGTGTCCTTCCTCATCTCTTATTATAGTCTTTGGTTTAAAATCTAATTTGTCTGATATAAGGATTGCCACCCCAGCTTTGGGTGGCAATCCATTTTTTTTTTTTTCTGTTAAATTTGAGTTTACCTAGGGCGCCTGGGTGGCTCAGTTGGTTGGGCGACTGCCTTCAGCTCAGGTCATGATCCTGGAGTCCCGGGAGCGAGTCCCGCATGGGGCTCCCTGCTCAGCGGGGGGTCTGCTTCTCCCTCTGACCCTCTTCCCTCTTGTGCTGTCTCTCATTCTCTCTCTCAAATAAATAAATAAATAAAATCTTTAAAAAAAAAATTTGAGTTTACCTATTCTAGATAAGAGTCCTTTGTCAGATATGTGGGTTTGTAAGTATTTATCTTTCCGTTCTCTTAAAGAAGGTCTTTCACAGAACAAAAAAATTTTAATCTTGAAATCTATTTTTTGGTGTGCTACTCACTTCACTCAGCTTTGCCTGATGTCTTTCAGAGGTACATTTCAACCTGTAGGTTCAGTTGATTGAATGGCTAGGAAATGATTTAAACACTCTTTCTCAAATCAATCTGGCCAGATTGTACTTAACCTACGTCTTGAAATTTATCAGCAAAGGTGTTGAATGACTTTTCAAAATCTCTACTGGATCTGTAGTTTTGACTTCTTTTTCATTTCTTCCTATTTCATTAATTACTCTTTAATTTCTCCCTCCTGCTTCCTCTGGTTCACACGGAGGATCAGCCAACACTTACTGTAATGAATGGGAATTAGACTTGGCAGTCGTTGCCAACACTCTACTGTTGCAGCACAAAAACAGCCATGGATGCATGTGAATAAATGTGTGGGGCTCTCTTCCTTGAGTGAGTCTCCATCAGTGGGAAAGATGGTTTCAGATAGCGCAGTGCTAAAAATCTGTTTCACCTTTAACATTAAATCATAGTTAAGCTGGGTATAAAATCTAACGTGACAGTTGTTCTCTTAATGCTTTAAAGGTGTATATTCTACCATCTTCGGTCCTTGCTGGTGGGAGATTGGTTGTCTACTTGTTCCTTGAAAGATCACTTCTTTGCCACTCTGATGTGTCTTAATCGGGGTTGATTGACAGTATCTGGGATACCTTGTGCTTCTGGAATCTGAGGAGTTCCAGTTCTCAACCTCTTTATTTTCCCATTCTGAAATTTCTGTGAGACTCTCTCATATTTTCCAGTTCATTAATTTTTTCAATATTTTATTTATCTTTAGAGAGAGTACATGTGGGGGGAAAGAGAATGTTAAGTGGGCTCCATGCTCAGTGTGGAGCCTGACATTGGGCTTGATGCTGTGACCCTGAGATCATGACCTGAGCTGAACTCAAGAGTCAGATGCTTAACCCACTGAGCTACCCAGGCACCCCAAATCTGGTAAGTTTTAAATTTCAGTTAATATATGTATTTAATAGTTTCAAATTCTAGTATCTTTCTTTGACCAGATTCTACTCCGGTTCTGTGGAAATCTCAGTGAGGACCTGACATTGGGGTGGGGGGGCTTCTGTCTCTGCCTTGGCCAGGCCTAGCAAGAATTCTGCTAGGTCAATTTAGCCAGAATAATAGGTTACCTTGCCATCAGCCAGGGTTCCTCTGATCAGTCTGGGCTGCCTCCAGCAAGAGTCCTGGCAGGTCGGGTTAGCCAGAACTTCACCATCCCTGATGGTTCCTCTTGGTAATTTTCCATCCACAGACGCCCCCCCCCCCCCCCCCCCCCGCTCCTTGGCTGTCAGTCCCCACTTTTCCCTGTTGTAATCAGAGCCTGATCTCTCTCCCCTGTATGGCCAAACCCCATTGCAGTGGTCCCTATACCACTGTGATAGTCCCCCTGAATACAGCCTGCCTGCCTGGTCTTTTCCAAGCATCATGAGTAATCTTTCCTTTAACAGAGGTCCTTTTCCTGTTGTTTGGGGCAGTCGCTGACTTCCAGCCCTGTGCAGTGGAGCTTCAGCTGTGGGAATCATGCACAACAGTGGTTGACCCAGGGCTTTCCGGACATTGGAGAGAGTGTACATTCAAACCCCTGAAGAGCAGATCTGTGGTTATACATTTTCAGGAGGTGAGTTTATAGTTGTCTATGGTATTGTCTCCTGTGTCAGAGGTCCCAGGGCTCATCAGCCTTGGCTTGGGCAGGGGGAGGCTTTGGGCCTCTTTTTTCTAAGTACTCCTTTGCACAGAACTTTGTTTTGACTCTTAGCTCCTGCCAGGTGGACAGGCACTCGGTTGTCATATAATGAACTAAGTAAGAGAAAGGAACTAGTTTTCCCTCTGGGAGGGAAGGCAGGGGTCAGCCAGGTAGGGGTGAGCTGGATGGCTGGCGGGGTGGCTTACCGCACTGCGGAGGAGGGTCCAGGGGCACGAAGCCCCGGGCACACAAGTGGATGTAGGCGGCCGCCAGGTTACAGGCAGGGTGGAGCTCCTGGGTGCCACAGGTGTCCTGGATGCACAGGCTGAGGAATGGCGTGGGGTCCACCTGAAATCCAGCACCCACAGTCACGGTCCTTGTGCGTTATAGCCTTGCGAGTAGCACAGGGGAGGGGCAGAGGCAAGATAGGGGTCAATTTGGGTCCCTTGGTCTATCTGCTGCATGGCTTCTGCTGGGGTCCAGACCCAGCCTCACACTCACCACCCTGAAGCAGTTCCCCAGGCAGGAACGGGGGTCCTGGAAGAAGGCCCAGCAGGTGGGGCTCCAGCCTGGGCACTCCTGAGTTTTCTCCATGGCCCTGCAGTCGCCACCCACCTAGTGAGACAAAGCCCAGACTCAGGCCTGCCGCCTGGACCTCCTCCTTCTTGGGCAGCTTGGACAGAGAAGCTGTCTGCAGAGTACACATGCCCCAAGCCAATCTCTACCCACACAGCCCCCGGGACACACGACCCCCCAAAGGAGGAGGGCTGGCGCACCAGCTCACCTGCCAGGCGAGGGCGAGCTCCTCCAGGCTCTGGGCCGCTGTGCCATCCGGCAACATCAGCTCATTGCCCGCCTCATTGTCATTGGTACCCAGAAGGCCAGCAGACACCCCTGTGCAGAAAGGGGGCCAGGTGAGAGCCTGTCTGGGCCCAGGTTCCAGGAATGCCCGAACCCTCCACACCCGACGCCCACACCACCTCCTGGGCTCTAGGCCTTCATCAGAGGGAGAGGAGAAGGGAGCAAAGCATTTGTGTCCCTTTTGGGACCCTCCCCATGCCCACCGTCCTCATCTCAAGTGGCCTGGGCCGACGGGAGAGCTGTTCTGGGGCCACCCTGAACCCGGAGTCGATGTCCCAGAAAGGAGGTAGAAAATGGGTCAGAGAGCCCCGGGCTTAAATCCGGGCTGTGAGAATGGTGGCCCGTACATGAGCTTCAGTGAGGTCATCCAAACCATAGCCAACAATGGGGAGGAGAAGGGGAGGAGGCGGCGACCGGGGTATTACAGCTGCAGAGACAAGGCCAGTGGGCACCGAGCCGAGCAGGATCTGTCCACCTGCAGTGGGGACGGTCCGAGCACTGCCATGACCCAGCAGGGAGACATGGCCTTGGACCTCCTTCCCATCCTGAGCCCTTCAGACTGTTCTCCTGCCTGCTCAGCTTGTAAGCCCCAAAGATCAACGGCAGCCTGAGGGAGTCCCTGGGCATCCTGCCCCCAGTGTCCCGAGGACCCCAAGAGTGCCCCTGGCTGGGGATCTGCCAGCCTCTGCAAGGCCGACCCCACTGGCTCGGAGGCTGCTAGCTGGGACCCAGACCCACCATGGAGCCAGAGGCCCAGAGTCAGGCTGCAGAGACCGGCTCGGACATCACAGGTGACGGAGATGCCGTCCTCACTGGTCAGCTTGATCCTGGGGACATCCCTCCTCATCTTGGCAGGAGGCAGATCGACGTGCAGACAGCTCTCCATAGGCGAGGAGGAATCATACAGCCTGTATGTCTGGGGGCCAGACATGGGCTGAGCAGACAGGTGGCAGGCAACGTGGGGCACCAGGTGGGAAGGGTCTGGGGCCCAGGACATGGGCGTGTGGATGTGACAGGAACGTGTCATCCTTCTGGGCCCCCTGCCCCTCCCACTCTCGCATGCTCACCTTCAGGCTCGGGTAGAGCACCAGGGTGGTACGGTTCAGCTCCACGGACAGGGATGGGAGCCCCGAGTGGTCCCGGTTCAGTGTCAGTGAGAACGTGTCGTGGGCAAAGTCCTTGGCCAGCAGCAGACGGCCACAGTGGACACCCAGGCTCCACACCTGGCCATCAAAGGTCACCACATACCTGGCCCCGGCCACCACAGCATGGTCTGGGAAGAAGAAAGCCCAGGGCAGGTAAGATGGCTCTGCCCGCTCTGCCCGCTGCCCTGGGGGCCCTGAGCGCAGGGGGTACTCCAGGGCATCCAGAGCCTTTCTGGCCTGTGACCCCTTGGGCAGCCTACATGGGGGGGTCTATCCCCAGCTCTTCTCCACCATCTCCAGCCAAGTCGACAATAAAAAGAAAGGACTGATACAGGATTCCTTTCATACGAAGTGTCCAGAGTAGGCAAATCCATGGAGCCAGGAGGTAGACAGGTGAGAGCCAAGGACAGAGGGTGACAGCTAAGGGACAGAGGACGCTTGTGAGGTCATGAAAATGCTCTACAACTGACGGCAGTGGGAGATGTGAACCTCTGAATATATTCAAAGCCGCTGAATTATATGCTTGAACTAAACAGTGTGGTATGCGAATTGGGGGTCAATGAAGCTATTGAAAAATAATCACTATAAAAAACACACAAAAGTATGACCAAAGGCTCCATCTAATGCAAGGAAGGTACCATGGGGGCCTGGCTCTGCCCTCCTCCAGGTGGGCAGAAGATGGAGACAGGGACAGTGTGCCCCACCGGGCCAGTTCGGCTGCTGAGCAGCGACTTGGGCTAGAAGTGGGGGGGCACTAGGGGACACATACCCAGGCCAGGGGGCTGCTGGCCCAGCCAGCCTCACGAGGAGGGTCCTGCATGCCCCTTCATCAGCCATCAGAGCTCAAGGTCACGGGCCAGCCCAAGGCCACATAAGTACGGAACTCCAAGGCCAACTTCAACCTCACCGTGCTGCCTAGCAGAGAAAGTACCCCTGACCCTAGGAGGGCGACCGCTTGCCCCGAACCTCAGCCTTCCCACGTGGGCGGTACGAACCACACTGACACACCAGGCCTACCAGGCCCTGAGTGCCACACCTGCCTGTGGGCTTGAGGCCCACCCCAGCGCCAAGGAATTCGGCTCACAAACCACACGTGCCTGTCACCCAGAGGAGTGCGCCAGGGTGCCACCTCCAGTGCACAGAGGGGAAACCAAGTCCCAGAGAGGGGGGGAGACTCGCCCGGGCCACACTCGGGCACGAGCTGGATGCACACTCCCACGGGGCCCCGAGCCCCTGGAGCCACATCCGGTCTTGGCACAGCCCGTGGTGGCCGGCCCTGCCTGACCACGAGTCTGGACTCCATTAGCCGCCTTCCGGCTCCAGCTGGAGGTCTGCCTTTTGCGCCTCCAGCACCAACAAGGGGGAGGGAGCTGGCCTCGAGCCCCAAGCAGCTTGGCCCACTTCTGGGTTGGGCCCCAGACTCAGGCTTTCCTATGCTGGACGAAAGCCCGGATCTGCAGCCCGGTCCTCGTCCGCTATGACCTGGGACAGTCCAGTAACCTCTGGGCCCTGCGGTACTGGGCTCAGGTCCCGGGGGCCACCCAGGACCAGGCCCCTGTCTGCCCCTGCCACGCCCTGCTGCCCCATCCCACAGGGTTCAGGGCTTCCCGGGGAGGAGGGTGGCCCGAGACTCACAGTCGTGGGGGCTCTCCAGCAGGCGACGCTGGAGCCGGTAGTACTCGGCCCACACATTGGTCCTGGACAGCTCGCCGAGCGGCTGCAGCAGCTTCTCCACCACGTAGCCGGTCACCCGGGCCACAGCCAGGGGCTCGTTCCCCGCCGGCAGCAGGGGCAAAGTCACCCGCACCGAACAGTTCCTGGAAGGAGCACAGAGGTGGAGGAGGGTCCAGGCTCAGGGCAGACACAGCGGCCTCACTGGAAGGACACAGATGTCTGGGCTCCTGCCAGAGGGGGGGGGACGTACGTGCTGCCCCCCAGGGCCTTGGGTCAGGTCTATGTGAACCCTGAGAATGGGCCGGCCCACATCTAGGGCTCCTGGAGGTGGGGTGGACAAAGGCAGCAAACGCATCGGAGAAAGGGGAGGTCGGAGCCAAAGGGGACCTTGGGAGTTCGACCATCAAGGGAGGACCCTGAAGCTTTCTCAGGGCGGAAAACAGGGGTCACGTCGACTTTGTGGGGTCTGAAGGAGCAGAGAGGTCTCAGCACACGTTGGGCTTGGAGGAGATGAGGAATAGTTCATGCCCTCGACTGCGGGTGGAGGTAGGTGCCGGGGGTGGGGGAGGACATTTACCTCCCCCAGGAGGCCCGGAGGACCTGCAGCGGTGGGGCTGGAAGTGGTCTCAGAGGCCTCCCTGCCCCCCACACCCCTTCCTCAGCACAAGCACCCAGTGCTGACCCCTTGCCAGGACCTCCCCCGGGCAGGAGCCCCCTAACCGCACCAGTCAGCCCCTACCTTTGCAAACAGCCCCGACTAGTACATTCCTCTGCACACCAGCTGACACCGTGCCCCCTTGGCAGCTTCCCTCGGCCAGCCCACGTTGTGACAGCACCGAGAGCCCTGGTGGCCTGAGCACCACCCGAGGCACCGAGCACTGATCCAAGGTTGCCCAAGTCAGAGCTGGATTCAAGCCCAAGCATTCCCCCAGTCCCCACGCGCTGTGAGGTCGCTTGGCTGGGGCCGCTGCCATTCCGAGCCCCGCCCCCCCCCACTGCTGATGGGGCCCCAGCCTGGGAGGGGGAGGGGCGCACACACCCCAGAGCCCAGGCCTGTCTCTGAGGCTGGTTCTGCAGCCCCATCCGGTCCAGTCCCCTCTCTGACAACTCCCAGACTGTTGTACGGCCCAGACCTCAAAATAGCAGTTCCTACTGGCCGTTTCTAACTGCGTGTCCTCATGGCTTCTCAAGCTCAACGCGTCCAGAATGGCGCCTGACCATCCCCGCTCCTGCCACACACACTGAATAAAGGCCCCCGAAGACCTCCAAGTGCCTGGGCCCTAGGACTACGGGAACTGATGTGGCCAAAGGCACTTTGCGGGTGTGCCTAAGTGAAGGATTCTGGGATGGATTATCCGGGTGAGCTCATGTCGTCAGAAAAAGGGCAGGAGGAGGGTCAGAGAGACAAGATAGAAGGACAGAGTCTGGAGAGAAAGTGATGCTGTGGCTTTCAGCTTTGAAGGCGGAGGAAGGGTCTCTGAGCCAAGGAGCGCTGGTGCTCCTAGAGGCTGGAAAAGATAAAGGGGGTGGGTTCTCCCCTGGCGCCTCCCTGGGAGCCAGCCCGGCTGACACGTTGGCTGAGGCCACTGAAACGGATTTCCCAGACTTCGGACCTCCAGAACGACACGAGAATAAATCTGTGTTGTTTGAAGTCACTAAATGTGTGGGTCAAGGGGCTATGGAAGCAAGAGGAAACTGATAAAGCCCCCATCTGCCTGCCACCAGTCCCTCCTGCCATTTGCAAGGCCAAAAACCTCGGTGCCACCTGTTCCAACACCTAAGCCAATCTGTCAGCAAATCTCCAGGCTTGACCTTACAACACGTCCAGAATCTAAATACCTCGCGGCCCTTCCATGGCTCCCGAGTCTCACCCAGACACCCACAACCGAGGGCCACTCCTTACTGGGCTCCGCACTGCCATCCACACCACGCCCCTGCCCCCAGCCAAGTCTCACCACCAGGGCCAGAGGGATCTTTTTATTTTTTTTATTTATTTTTTGACAGAGACAGCGCGAGAGGGAACACAAGCAGGGGGAGTGGGAGAGGGAGCAGCAGGCTTCCCACGGAGCAGGGAGCCCGAAGCGGGGCTCGATCCCAGGACCCTGGGATCCTGACCTGAGCCGAAGGCAGACGCTAAACGGCTGAGCCACCCAGGTGCCCCCAGAGGGATCTTTTTAAATGGGATATACATCATGTCTTTTCTCAGCTCGAAACCTTTTGTGGGTTCCCATCACAGAGTAGAAATTAATGTCCTCACAAAGGCTCCAGGCCACCTGGATGCCCCTCAACCCTCAGGCTCTTGTAGCCTCCACTCCAGCCCCACTGGTTTCCTCCATACTCCTCCAGCAGGCCAGGCACACTCCCACCCCTGGGTCTTTGCACTGGCTGTGGCCTCTGCCTGAAACTCTTCCCATGATGCCCACAGGGCCCCCTCCCCCAGCTCCTTCCAGCCCTTGTGCAAATGCCACCTTCTCAAAGAAGCAGACCATGGCTTCAGCATGCCAAGGGTGCCCCCCACCCCACTTGTCCTGCCTGTTCTTCTCCAGCATTTACCACCCGATATACCAAAGCACAGGCTAGGAAACTATTGTCTCATGGGCGAGATCCAGCCCGTGTCCAGTTTCTGGAGGGCCTGCAAGGTAAGAGGGGCTCTTCTGTTTTTAAAGGATTATTGAAAAACAAAGGGAAGATGAAGGGAAAGACCACTGAGCCTACAAAGCCTGAAAACTTTTACCCTGAGGCCCCTCTGGAGGAAAGTGTGGCCGAGTACGGTGTAGATAACCTAGCTCTTTGTTCAGTGTGAGGATGGGGATGGGTCTCATTCACTGCTGTATCCATAGAACCTAAAACAGCTCTCACCCGGAGAACCTGTTCATCCAATACCCGTGGAATGAAGAATAAACCTCAACTTAACAGATGAGGACTGAAAATGCCCCCCTGGCAGGGTCGTCCTAAGGAATACACGAGACCAAGGGTGCTGTAGCCTGGGGCCCGGCCTGGGGCAGGGAGGCAGAGAAGGACGGTCCCTGGTCCCCAAGGTACCTGGCTGAGAAGCTGTACAGGGCCAGCAAGGGCTTGCAGAGCCTCCGCAGGGCCTGGGACAAAGTGGATTCGGCCCAAGACAGCATCTGGCGGGCGGCCTGCAGGGGGCGGGCGGGGAGAGCCATCAGGGTTCACCCCACCTGGCAGGCCCGCGTCCCACCCCCTCGCCCCACCTCACCAGCTCCATGGCTGCCCCGATGGGCCTGGGCCCCAGGGCCCGCCACAGCCGCACGGCCTCCTCAGCCCGCTCCCGCCACACCTCGTCCAGGGGCTGTGGGGTCACCTCCAGGTAGGCATCCTTCAGTGTGGCCAGGGGCCCTGCAACAGGTGGCCGCCACCCACCGTGAGCCCCCTCCCCATCCCCCACCCGGAGTCCTGACCTCAGGCCAGATGCCACTGCCTGCAGCCCAGACCCCGGCAGGGGGACCGGCCCCCTTGATGACCCAGGCCTCCAGGAAACAGGGCCTGTTCCAGGGAATAAGGTGGCGGCACGAGGGACTGCAGGGAAAGAGCCAGCCCGGCAGGCCCGAGACTTCCCCTCTGCAAGGCCTGTTCCCAAGGTCGGCCCTGGGCTGGCATGTGGGAGCCCGGATGGGAGGAGGGTTGCCACCACTCCCAGAACCGAAAAGAGGGCCTCGCTCTGCCCAAACCATTTGCAGGGACAAATGGCTTGTGCCCAACACCCCCTTTCCTCCGGTGAGTCCGGAATGGTGGTATGTGCCAGGGGAGGCTTCCTCCAGGACCAGCCCCCTAAGAAAACCCTCGGAGCAGGACCTCTAACGAGCTTCCCTGGCAGACCAGTGGTGGTCACCATGTGACGCTGGGGGAATTGAAGGCGTCCTGGGTGACCTCCCCAGGAGAAGATTCTGGAAGCTTGTGCCTGGTTTCCCTCCCTCACTCGGGCCTGGGCCCCTGTGCCGCTTCCCTTTGCTGATCTTGCTCTGTGTGCTTTCGCTGTAACAAATCCTAGCTGTGAGCAGGAAAATATTCCGAGAACTGAGCCCTAGCGAGCCACGGAAGCTGGGGGTGACCCAGAGACAGAAGCAGGGTGGGAGAGAAGGGCCAGCTATCGGCCCTGGTGCTCGTGTGGAGAGGCCTGAAGTTCCCAGCATCACTCGGAGGATGCTTGGGGCAGCGGCGACTTAGTAACCAGGACAGAAGCCTGAACCACACGGCCACGCTGGTGCTGATCACAGAACCAGAAATAGGCTCTGGGATCTTCCAGCACTGGGCCTAATAGAAATAAAGCTGTAGGCCCAAAAGAAATCAGGCAGGGACTGGAAAAAAAAAAAAAATAGACCAGCAGTCCACAAAGAACCAAGGCAGCGGGCATGAGGGATGTTAGCTTGGAGAGCTGCAGGGATGGAGGCAGCAGAGTGAACACGAAGGCTGCAGGCCCATGAGGCCCCGCAGGCCGGGAGGGCTCTGGGGTTGGGCCCTCACTCGTGCACTCACGTTCCAGCTCGTTCCGCAGCTGCTCCAGCCCCACCCGTAGTCTCTCCAGGTAGGGGGGCAAGTGGTGTATCAGCGCCTGCCTGGCCTGGCCCCATGGCGCAGCCACCGCCCGGCCACTCGCCACCACGGCTCCCAGTCCCCCGTGGGACAACTGCAGGAGGGGGCCCACCATGCTGTCCAGGGTGCCCGCCGGCCGCACCTGGGCAGGGAAATCGAGGCAAGATCGGTGTGAGGGTCTGGGGCACCCGGCACTCCAGAAGATCCTCACGCCTGGTGAGTGGAGGGCACAGGATGGGCCGGGGGAAGGGGGGGGCATCTCCACACAGCACCTCCCCTTCTCGAAGTGTGTCCCCGACCCCCTGGTGCAGTCTACCCACCAGGCGCCGGAACCTTTCCACGTAGGCATCCAAGCCTCGGATCTTCTTCTCTAGCTGGGCTCCCACCTGGGCCCCGATGGCTGCCATCCTGGACTGTGGGCACAGAGGGACAGGCTGGGGACTCCGGGGAGGGGGGTGCTTCCTGGGACTGGGGTGGACAGGAGGTTCTCGGTGCCGGCCATGGAGCCCCAGGATATGTTTGCATGCTACGGGGCTGCCTCTGGTTTTCTGGGCCTTGTTGGACCCAAAAGGCTCGCAGCCCCAGCACCGTGGTCTGGGCCCCAGGGAAAACAGCATCCCCCACCCCTGGGGCCGCCTCACCTCCACGCTGCCCAGCAGGGTTCCCGGACAGCCGTGTGCCTCCAGGCGAAGACTCTGGTTGGCAGCCTGCAGGCTCAGGCGTCCCAGGGGCTGCACGGGCTGCCCGCCGTCCTGGAGCAGGGCCTCCACCTCAGCCGTTTGCCTGTGGGCACATGCCCGCAGCACCACGCTCTCCTCTCGGCTCCCTGGGGCCAGGAAGGGTCCTGCTGTTGCCCCCGGGACTTGCCTGGCTGCCACCCGGCTGTCCACACCTCCTCCTCTCCACGGAGAGCTTCCTGTTAGCCCCAGGCCCTAGCGTTTGCAGGCCTGGAAGCGTACCACCCAAATCCGCTTCCCGACCCCCTGAGGCCTGGGCTCCTTCTCATCCCCCAGCCCATACCCACCTCCCATCTGCCCACCTGGACCCTTCTCCCAACCTCTCCTGACATCACAGCCCATACAGGTGGCTGCAGGGGGCTCACTGTCTCCTCCGAGCTGAGGGCGCCACGAAGTCCAAACCGGGTTCCCTGACTCCTCAACTCTCAACACCCCGATCTCTGTCCTCTCTGGGGCCCAGGTGGGCCCCGCCCCAGCCATCTGAGCAGTCCTCGCTGTCTCAACTCACCTTCCTCATGGGTCACAGCGGCCTGGAGGCAGCTCGGGGCCCGGGACACCGACAGCCTCACTTTCTCGTCCCCATTGTCCACAATTCCCTCTAGCTGGATGCTGGCCCGAGAAGCCGAGGTGGAGACCCGGCCCTGCAGGCCGAGCTGCTGAGCCTTGGCGCTGAGGATCTGCAAACAGGAGAGCAGAGAGCAGAGTGGGGCCTGGTCCCCCCGCTCTTGCTAGCCCCGGGCCCAAGGAGAGAAAAGGCAGCGCCCACCTCCTGCCCCACATCTCCCGGGGCACTGGGACCCCCACGTACAACCCCACAAGGTTCACTATCCCTGCCAACTGCAGAAAGTACCTACTAAATCCACATCTGGGGGCCTGATAAGCCAGGGGCACCCGCCATCCCCATGGCTTAAACATCGCCGACGCCAGGCCTCACCCCGGCGCCGCTGTCTTAACTGATCCGGGTGGCCCTGGGCCTTGACATTTTTGCCGTCCCTGGTGCCCAGCTGTTTCTACCTGCCGTGCTTTCTGTAATTTCAGGAGAAACACGGCAAATGCCTCAGCACGTTCAAGGAGCTGTTGTGGGGAGCACGGGGCACACAGTCCCCGAGCACTTTGTCGCGACCCTTGCAGACACCCAGCCTTGCAGGAGGGGGACTCGGGACAGGTGAGCTCTGAATGGACAATGGGGCTGGAGGTCACAGAAGGTACCCTGGAGGACCCCCTGCAAGGGGAGGCCTGTTGGGGGGAGGGGAGCCACCTCTGGCCGTGACTCAGCTGCCCCATGTTCGAGTCCAGATGCTGCTACCAATGAGCCGTACCACCCTGAATAAGTGCGTTGCCCTGTCTGTGCCTCGGTTTCCAGTTCTGTCAAATGACACAGGACGGTGGCCTTCGAACTTCCGCAGGAATCGGAATTACTGTGTGTGTGTGTTACAGGAGGGTGCCTTATGGGGTGAATGTGTTCCTCAAAAAGGCGCGTGGAAGTTCGAACCCTAGTTCCGATTATTCGGAAATAAGGTCTCTGCAGATGTGGTTGTCCTGGATTCAGGTGGGCCCTAAATGCAATGACCCATAGCCTTGGGAGACAGCCGTGTGAAGACCCAGAGGTTGGAATGACACGGCCATAAGCCAAGGAGCGCCCAGGCCTGCCGGTGACCCCCAGAAGCAGGAAGAGTCACGGGGGGACAGTGCCCTAGAGCTTCTGCTGGGCGTGCGGACTTGCTGACACCCTGATTTCAGACTTCTAGCCTCTAGCACTGTGAAAGGAAAAAAATCCTGTTATGTTCCAGCACTGCGCTGGGGGTCCTCCGTTCGGCAGCCCTAGGAATCTAATTCAGGGGGCTCACTACACATGTTCCAGAAAATCCATCCTCAAGGTTTCCAAGTGGGTGGGGTGCAGCCCAGAGAGCCTTCTGAAATTTCACAGTGTCATGAGGACCAAACAAGGCTGGGAAAGACCTCTCTCCACTGCATGGACCCCCACATGGGGCAGGGGGCCCACTCCCAGGCCGGCAGGCCTTGGGGCACTGGGATTACAGACGCGGGAGCAGCTGGGGGCCTGGCTGGCAGGTGGGGAAACGAAGCGGTCAGCCCCGGGCAGCCTTGGAGAGCAAAGCTCTTTTGATACCACCATGCCACCATGCAGGGCAACAGGCCGAGCGACCTCCAGAAGCAGAAGAGCCATCCCCGTCCAGCTCCGGATGCTGGAAGGAAACCTCACGAGCACCTACTATGTGCAAACAGCTCTGCAAATGAGGTGGGATTTGTTCCCATTGGACAGAGGAGACAACTGAGGTCAGAAGAAGGAAAGTCACGAAGTCAGGGGCACTTGGCCAGGGGGACGCGGAGGTGGGCAGATGGTAACAGTGATGGGGCACCTACTGTGTGCCTATTTTAAAGGGGGCAGAGGGAAGGGGTGCCCGGAACCCTACCCGCAGCCTTGCGAAATATGTCCGCTCCCCACTTACAGATGAGGAGGCAGGGCTCAGCGAGGGCCCTTCCCAAGATCACTCGGCCGGTGGGGACAGAGAAGGCATCGAGCCCAGCTCTGCGCCCTCCTACCTTCCTGGGCTGCTGGGAGAATCGGTAATACTGAGTGGCTGCCTTGTCGCAGGCACTGCTCTAAGTGATCTGCACGTAGTAACATATTTAATCCTCGCGGCATGAATCCCACGGGAGCTAGGGTAGGTGCTAGGGTAGGTGCAGCGATTACTCCCCACTTTGCAGGGGAGGAAGCCAGGCAGCGTGCCAGCCTGCGGTTCTGACAGTGACCACCAGGTGGCAGGGCCATCCAGGCGGTGGTGGCCTCGCAGGCCAGAGCTGGAGGAAGGGCATCCTCCTGGGGGTGGGGGGAGGTGCAGGCAGCCCCGACCTGGCCACCCACCTCCAGCTCCCCGGAGAAGTCTGGTGCCCGAGGCTTGCTGTGGTTGCGGAGGGTCAGGCTGAGGTGCAGGCCATGGTCTGGGTCCGGGGCGAGGCCCATCTGGCAGCGGGAATCCAGCAGGAGCCCATTGTGGCCCAGGGTGTGCTCCCCAGAGACTGAGAGAGCCTGGAACGAGAGGGTGGGTGTCAGCGGTCAGGGAGGCACAGGGGCTGCAACTTCCTCTCCCCACCATGCCCGGGCCTGGTCCAGACCCCCGGGGCTGTCGCAAGAGCCTGTTGGGTCTCCCTTCTAGTTCAGCCCATGGTCCCTCCTCCACTCAGGAGCCAGACTGACAGTGAAAAATGCAAATCGGACATGATCCCCTTGCTCAAAACTCTCCGCCTCCCCGTTGTACTAAGAAAAGCTGGTTGCCTGACATGGCCCACAAGTCAGCATTATCTTCTTAACCTCACCTCCTTGCTCTCTAAAGGCTGCCCTCTGTTCCTCCAATACCCTCAGCATGCTCCGCCACAGGGCCTTTGCACTGGCTGTTCCCTGTGCAGAGCTCGCATTTGTCAGTGGGGCCCCCTGCAATCCCCCGTCCCCTCTCCCTGCGTCATTCCTTCAGGGCATTCATCATGCCTCAGTACATATGATGCATCTTTTTTTTTTTTTTAAGATTTTATTTATTCATTTGAGACAGAGATAGAGATAGAGAAAGCATGAGCAGGGAGAGAGGCAGAGGGAGGGGGAGAAGCAGGCTCCTCACTGAGCCAGGAACCTGATGCGGGGTTCAATCCCAGGACCCTGGGACCATGACCTGAGCCGAAGGCAGACGCTTAACGACTGAGCCACCCAGGCGTATCATGCATCTTGTTTAACTTTTTCCACCCACTGGAAAGTGAGCTCCAAGGGGTGGGGCACCCAGTCTGTCCCCTTCACCTTCCTTGTCCCTGCACCTAGGAGAGGGCCCTGCATTAAGTAAAACCCACAAATGCTTTCTGAACGAATGGATGAATGGGGTTGGCAACCTGGCTCAAGAGCCAAATTTGGCTCACTGCTTGTTCTTGTTAATAAATATGCATCAGAAGATGGCCACACCCATGAGTTTACATATAACCTACGACAGCAGAGTTGAGTGATGGTAACAGAGATCATATGGCTTGAACAGCTAAAATATGGGGCACCTGGGTGGCTCAGTCGTTAAGCGTCTGCCTTCGGCTCAGGTCATGATCCCCGGGGCATGGGATCGAGCCCCGCATCGGGCTCCCTGCTCAGGCGGGAAGCCTGCTTCTCCCTCTCCCTCTGCCTGCCACTCCCCCAGCTTGTGCGCACTCTCTGTGTGTCAAATAAATAAAGTCTTAAAAAAAAAAAAAAGAAAAGCTAAAATATTTGCTATCTGACCCTTTACAGAAAATCTCTGACCCTGGGATAGATGGATAGTTGGGGAAATGGATGGATGGATAGGAGGGTGGGTGAGTAGGTAGATGGGTAGGTGAGTAGGTGGGTGGCTGGGTAGATGGACAGATGGACTGACAGGAGGGTGGGGAGTAGGTGGGTGGGTGGATGGATGGATGGATGGATGGGAGGGTGGGTGAGTAGGTGGCTGGATGGATGGGAAAGTGGGTGAGTAGGTGGATGGGTGGGTGAATGGATGGGAGGGTGGGTGAGTAGGTGGATGGGTGGGTTTATGGATGGATGGATGGGGGGATGGATGGACAGAAGGGTGGGGAGTACATGGGTGGATAGATGAGAAGGTGGGTGAGTAGGTGGCTGGGTGGGTGGATGGGTGGATGGATGGACAGATGGATGGACAGAAGGGTGGGGAGTAGGTGGGTGGATGGATGGGAGGGTTGGTAGGTAGGAGGAAGAACCAATCAACCAGCTAACAAACCCAGGAAGAATGTTTTGGGAAAGGGGTCCCAATACCTCACCTCCAACAACGATGCAGCTGAGCACCTTTCATTTACGTGTAAAGCTCTCTTCCTGTGTCACATCTCATATCTCACAGTCACCCTACATGCTGAAGCCTACTGCCTCTTCTGTTCCTCAGATGGAACCCTGGACTTTGAGAGGGTCGACCCACCCTGCCTGGGATCACCCCACCGGCAGATGGCAGAGCGGTGATGTGGGCACCCAGCTCCCTCGCTTACACCCCTGCGCTCTGTGGATGCTGTCCTCTCTCCTCACCCTCCCTCCATGGGTGCCCGGGCCCCCTCCCCGGGACAGACTCACCCTGGGCAGGTCACAGAGCCCCAGGTGCAGGGAATGGTGCAGCCGGTGGGTATAGTCGGTCCCCACTTCCCCCTGGAAGCTCTGCGTGGTGCAGGAGCCAGTGAAGATGTGCTGCAGCATGGCCTCGGCGTGGATCCTGTCCGCCTGCGATGGCCAATGCCTCTGGCAGGAGAGGGCACCGTGAGGCAGGGGCTCATCCCATGAGAGGGGAGAGGGGCCAAGGCCAGCTGCAGATGGGAGACCTCACGAGAGAGGGTCAGGTGCTGGAAGCCCCATCATGAGAGCTCCAGTCGGCCACAACAGTGATTTATACGCTGGGCGGATGTTTGTGGGGAGCACCGGGGGCCTGAGTTTAAAGGGTCCCAGAGCCCAGGGTGCGAGACCCCAGGAGGAACAAGGTTGGCTTTCAGGGCCATTTCTCCCCATTTCTCTGTGGTCCGGTCCCTGTCCCAGGCTCTGCAGAACAGTGCTCAGCCCCAACCGCAGCCCCGGGTGGGCAGTGATGCCAGGAAGACTCCAAACTGACGCCTCCAGGAACCTGATCTCCCCCTGCCCCCAAAAGCCCTCTGGTGTCACCAGCTTCTTCCCTCGTCTGGCTCCGAGTGCTCACCTCATGCTGGGCACCTTGCTTCCCTCATCCCCCCAGAGCTGTCACTATACCCCAGTCAGGGAACCCATTTTACAGATGAGAACACCAAGGCTCACAGTGGAGAAATGAGTTTCTCACCATCCTCCAGCACAGCTAGCGTTGGCACAAGACCCCATGGCCTCAGAGCCAGGCACTTTGTACAGCAGGTGTGGCCCCCCTGCGGGTGACCTGCCTGGGACCCGGCTTTCTAGGCCTCACCTCATATGTCAGGTTCTGCTGCACCCGGCGCCGGTCCCAGGACAGATCGAGCTGCTCGCTGAACACAGCCGGGGTCTGTGTTACGGCCCCACAGGCCCGGAGGGCACTCAGGCCCCAATTTTCCTGGAGCTGACAAGAAGATGGAATATGGGACTGGGAGCCAGCACAAGGGCCCAGAGTTAGGGAGAGCCCCGTGCTTGGCTTGGCAGTCCCGCCAGCGCATACCTGCCCCGGGGAGGCAGCCAGGCAGCCATCCCAGATGGTATTGAACTCCGAGGACCTGTTGGTCCAGGTGAGGTGCAAGGTCACGGGTTGCCCTCTGTCCCAGGCCAACTGGACCTGCAAGGAGATGGAGGGTGGTGGAGGGGAGGGCCAGAGGAGAGGCTGATGCTCTCCATCTGTGTGCGTGCAGGGGATGGAGAAGGGAGTGGGAGGAGTGGGAAAGGTAGAGTGCGGAGGGTGGAGCCCCCCACTGCAGGGGACGAAGGAGGGGAGCTGGAGACCCTGTCCTCCCTCCTGCCCGCATCTGCAGGTGCTCAGAGCCATGCCCAGCCCGGGAGACCGGAAGTATTTAGATGGAAGACGCCTCATTCCCAATACCCAAGCCTTGCTGTCTCCAAAGCCAGAAGGAAATCCGTGCTGCTCACTCAGGGCCTCTGGGGCTGCTGGGGACTGAACCGTGAGCCCCACGCCCCTGTTGTGCTGTGGAAGCCCTCATCCCCAGGGATGGTATTAGGAGGCAGGGCTGACGGGAAGGGACTAGGTGTTGATGAGGTCATGGGGTGAGCCTCAAGATGTGATTAGCGCCCCTATGAGAAGAGACCCCAGAGAGCTCTCTCCCCGGCAGGTGAGGACGCAGGAGACTGCGAGCCAGCAAGAGAGCGCTCACCAGAACCGGACAGGTTGGCGCCTTCATCTCGGACTTCTAGCCTCTAGAAAGGGGAGGAATACGTGTTTCTGTTTTAAGCAAAGGGCACCTAGCCACACAGCCGCAGTGTTCTGTGATGGCAGCCCGAGCCGACGAAGGCAGGGGCCCTCAGCTGATCTCCTCTCCCCAGTGCCTGCCCCACCACTTACTCTGTTCCAGCCTAACCGCCTCTGGCTCTTCCTGAAGCTCGCCAGCCTGTTCCTACCTCAGGGCCTTTGCACGCGCTCTTCCTGCCCTCCCACCCCCACCCCAGAATGCTATTCCTCCAGTTTGTCACGAGCTGGCTCCCTCTCATCCGGAGGTCCTCAGGGGACAAGCCACTTCCCCCAGGAGGCCCTCCCTGGCCACCGCATCTGATTAGCCTCTGTCTCCGCCTCCTCTCCGCTTTCTTCCCGGGGCTTATCACAACTCTCCATTTGTTCTTCATTCGTTGGCTTGAATTTTAGCCAGGCTCTCTGTTTGGCCTGGCACAGATGGTCTACTCTTGATACACACTGGCCTTCTGGCTTCCATTTCACAGCTGAGAACACCGAGGCTCAGGGAGGGTCCAGGAGCGACCCGAGGCCACCCGGCTAGGTGAGGAGCCCAGCTGCCCTGTGTGGACCCTCTGCAGCTCCCGACTCAGCGGACCAGTGTATAAATGAGGAGTCAGACATGCGCGTAAGCTCTCGCCCTGCCAAAGTGCGAGCTCTTTAGATGCAGGCCTGTGTGCTTCGAACATGGCCTGACGTGCAGTAGGTGCTTAATAAGGTATCGATGAAGGAATGAACGAATGAAGGACCCTTCGGGGTGCAAACTTCAGGAATCTGTGACTCTGTTAGAGTCCTTCCCAACGGGAGACAAGCAGAACCTTCTTCCCCTGCACGCAGTACCCAGGTCGTGGGCTGTGGGCTCAGCCATGCAGTTCCCCAACCCCCAGACGCCCCCACCGTGGGCACCTCAGATGCTCCCCACTCACCTGCCCGCTCTGCTGGCCACCTCTGCCCTCAGCCAGGCCGCTGGCCTCCATGTGCCACCAGGAGAGGTTGAAGGGGTGAGCCAGGGCCAGGCGGGCGGCCAGCCTGCCCTTCCCCAGCTGCAGAGAGGACGAGACCACCACCTGGGGAGGGGGACAGGCTGAGCCGGAGGCCTTGCCCACAGGGGCAGCCCCCTCCCCACCCTGCACAGATGCCTTCCAGGGCAAGGGCATGAGGGCAGCGGGCTCTGAGCACACAGCCCCATTGTGGGGGGGGCCCTTGGAGAGACGCAGCCCATTCTGCAGAGGGCAATGTTGAGGCTTGGAGGAGAGCAGACAGGGACAGTGTATGACAGAGACAGGACTGAGGACAGAGGGGCTGGAGGCCTTCATAGGTTAGAACACCAGCCCTGCTTTCCACTAAGCTCTGTGACTCCGGGCAAGTCGCTGTACCTCTCTGGGCTTCGATTTCATCATGTGAAAGCAGGGCTGAGGTGCCCTCAGCAGGTGTCAGCCAGAGGCATTCCTGTTGTGGCTCAGGTGCTGCCGGGACCCGATTCTGCCCCCCACCGGCTCCTGGGGACGGGGACCCGCCAGGCCGGCCCTGGTGAGGCTCCTCGGGCTCGGGCAGGCCTGGGCCCCGACTATCCCGCCCAGGATCCAGGGCCGGTGGAGTTCCCGGGGTCTCCTTCCGGCCCTGACACCTACCTGGTCCTTGCCATCCCAGCCCACGACCAGGTCGTCCCGGTGTTCCCGTGGTGAGTGCTCGCAGGACAGGCGGAGGCTGCCGCGCGGCGGTGGGGACAGGGACAGGGACAGCGGGTGGCTGAGCTCTGCTGGGCGGGGACACAGGGAGGGGCGGGCACGTGAGGGGAGCACGAGGGCTCAGGGGGATCTCAGCGGACACAGCCGCCAGCTCGGGCAGGTGGCCCCGTGCTCGGGTCATCTGCACAAAATTCAGGAGCTCTGCCCTCACTCGGCCACCACACCACTCAGCGCGGTTCCCGCGCTGTCCCCGTGAGAGCCCCAAGTCTCCACTCCCCACCTCCTCAAGGAGACCCTGCGCCTCCTGCGTCGAGAGGCGGAATCCATCCCCGTGGCCCCTGAACCTGGGCTGGCCTGGGACTTGCTAAGAGAATGTGGTGAGGGTGAGGCCACCGGATCCCAGCGCAGGCCTGAAGAGGCCTCCGCGCCCGCTCGCCCTCTGGGGACCCCCGCCCAGCCACCGAGGGAGTGAAGCCAGGCTGGCCGCCAGCGGGCCCCGGAACGAGCCGGACAGCCCAGCCGACATCAGCAGCACGTGCCCGCCAGCCCGAGTTCCCGGACATTCGTCACACAGCAAGAGCTGCCCCCTCCACCTCCCAGCCAACGTCTCGTACCGCTGTGACCTCCCTCACGCTGCGGGTGCCCGGTGCCCCGGTGACTGCCCCTCACCCACCCGGGCCACACTCTGCTGCCCTCCGCTCTCCCTTTGTCCCGGACTGTGACACAGGTGGCCGTCCCCACAGCTGAGGCCTCACAGCGGACAGTCTCCGTGCCTCCAGGGTCCCCTCTCTTGTCCCCCACGTGGAGTCCAGCTGCCCTGACCTCGTGCTTCGCCTGACCCCAGCTCCTGAGGCCACCAGTTGGTCCTGTCTTCCCGGACCCCTGGGCAGGAGTCCAGCTGAGACTCCCCGGTAGACAGGGGCCACCTTGGTGACCTCAGAACTCTCAGGAAGGGGCCCCACTTGTCCCTATGCAGGTTCCTGGGAGCTGCGCCCAGAGATGGTGACACCAGCTGCGTCTCGAGGTGCCACGGGGTCATCGGTCCAGGGAACACTGACCCACTTCCGTGCACCTCACCCTCAGCACCGTAACCCTCATTCCTTCCACCCTCTGACCCCCCAAGTCCCACGCTCCTTAACCACAGAGCAGGGCCCTCGGGCTGCTCAGCGCCCCCACAAACCCCGTGCATGCACAGGCTCGCTGCCCTGGTGTGCTGAGGGGCCACACGTCTCCTCTGCCTTGTATGGGGGACACCATCCGACCACCCAGCAAGCTGTGCCCCCGGGAGCGGGGTCTGCACTGTGTCTCCCACGTGGCAGACAGCAGGACAGGCTCTGCTCTGTGTAAAGGGGACTCGCCATACAGAAACTGACAGTCCTTGTGATGGCACAGCCCCTCCCAGGGCCACCTGTTTCCTGGACGGCCTCAGGGGACATGGGTGCCATCCGTGGGGCTGCTAGGGGACAGCACTCACTGCCCCTGCCGACCGTCAGCCTCCGCTCTGAAACCGCCGGGGCAGCTTGGGGTTGCCCCATCTAACACACTTCCTGTCTTCTCACACTCAGGATAGCCCTAACTCCCGACTGGGGGACCGGGACCCTCAGCCCTCCCGCCTGTCTCCTCTCCTCACCCCCGCTTCAGGGCACTCCGGCCACAGTGGCCTCGCTGCTGTGGTTCTACCACCCCAGCCTCGTCCCACCTCTGGGCCTTTGCACCTGCTTTTCTTTTTGCCTGCAATGCCCCTCCTCAGATCCCCGCCACAGCCAGTTCTTTCTCATCATTCAGGGCTCAGCGTGGACGTTACCTCCTCAGACACGCCTTCCTCCCCTACCCCACCTAAAGGAGCCCCGAACCCTCAGTCAAACCCTTCCCACTCTCAGAAACACTAATGTGATTTTCTCCATGTTCACATTCCTGCTCACTGCCTCTCCCCCTGAGGGCAGGGACCTGGGGCCATCTTACTTCCGGATGGATCCCCAGGGCCTGGAACAGCGCCTGGGATAAGCAGTTGTTCAAAGATGGTTCACTGAGCCCACAGGCCACCCCCACCAGTGACCTCTCGGACACTCACCCTGGAGGCTGAGGTTCCCAGCGGGCCTGCGGAAGGGCCCGGAGAGGCTCCCGTTAAGGACTGCCTCCTGGTCATCCCACAAAACTGTCTGGTGCAGGGTGTGGGTCCCACGGGCTCTCTCGTACAAGGTCTGCAGGACCAGCTCCCTAGGAAGGACGCTGAACTGGAAGAGAAAGACAGCTCTGGGTCACTGGGGAACCTGGCCCTAACTCCTGCTTGGGGTAGGAAAGAAGAGGCACTTTCAGAAGAGGAAAGACAGGGAACATCTGTGGGGCATAAACAGTTTACTGGGCTGTCAGATTCATCGGGAAGTCATAAAGCCAAAGGCTCCCCAATGTGAGGGAGGGGTGTGGGGCACAGGTATGGCCCTGTGAAAAGATCACCACCTCTCAGCTGCGCTTCCAAGCTGTGTGGCCTTGGGCCGGTTTCCTAACTTCTCTGAGCTCAGTTTCCCCCGTCTATAAGTCTATACGAGCGGATGAGAAGAACAGCGCTAATCTCTGAGATAATGCGAGGGTGTGTCTGCCCAGGGCTGACCTGTGGGCAGTGCCTTGTGGGAGCTGCTGTGGTCAGGAGTAGGGTTTCTCAAACATGTGCTGAGCAGGCATTAGGATCCAGACCCAGGGCTGAGCGATGGGATACAGAGATAACCAAGGCTGGTCGTGGCTCTTCAGGGGCTCCCGGCGGATGGGGAGACATCACAGAGACAAAAAATGATGGGACAAGGGGACAAATGTAGCATGAAAGATACTCAAGAGGCAAAGGAACACAGAGAAAGAAGTTGGTGGACAACGCAAGGAAGGGCATTCTAGGCAGAAGGAATGGCCTGTGCAAAGGCTCAGAGAAGGAGACTCTCCCCTTAGGTGGGTGCCCCCATTGGAAGGTGGCTCAAGGGCCCTGCAGGGGGACTTGCTGGGAGGAGGGGGGAGTTTACTCTTGAATGTCTTACTGCCCCACCTTGACGCAAGACACCATTGTTTCTTGCCCTGCTAAGCCCAGGGTCTTCCTCACTGGTGTTTCTGCTACCCCCTGTAGGTCACTCCCCATATAGCAGCTGGAGGGATCCGAAATCATCATTTGGATCACGTCCTCAAAAGGCTTCCAATTTCAGAGAACGAAATCCAAACTCCTCCCTGTGGCTTGTCCTGCCCTATGATCGGACCCCCATGATCTCCTACTCACCCGCTCTGCTCTAGCCCAGCGGCCATGCCTCAAACGGGCCAACTCGTTCCTGCCCCAGGCCCTTTGCACATGTTGTTCCCTCAGCCTGCAATGCCCTTTCACCAGATTTTCAAATGGCCAACACTTGCCTGTCATCTGCGGCTAGCTCAGATGTCACCTTTTTTGTGAGGCCTTCCTGGCCACCTAAAGAGCTCCCCAACCACACACCCACTCCTATGACTCCATTTTCTTTTCTCTCTAGAATGTATCCATCTAGGAATGTTCTCTTATTTATCTGTGTGATTTTCTCTCCACCAGATGAGAGGAAGGACCCACCAGTCCTGTCCCAGGCAATATCCTCAGCTTCTTGAGTGGTGCCTGTCCTGGGCCCTAGTAGGGGCTGAACAAATACTGTGGGGGGAGAAGGGGGGGAGGGACACTGAGAGCAGCTGAGAATCCATTCCAGCACACTTCACCCACTTCACAGCCCCTCACAAATCCCTCTTTTCTCCCAGAACCGCCGCACCCCCACCCCCACCCACAGCCCGCCCTGGCCACCCTCCACGCACCTGGGGGAAGGTCTGTTCCAGCCTGATGATGCTGGTGACCTTGGCCTTTGCAGTCACCAGGCTGGTGCCCACGTGGAAATGATGCTCCTCCACCGCCAAGAAAATCATGCTCTCGGCCTCATGCTCCGAGTACTGTAGCTGGGTCAGAAGAAAAGCAGGTGAGAGATTTTCTCCTTGGTCTCTGATGGAATATTCCAATAGATCCTGGCTCCAGGCTGTAGGCTCTGGCCCCAGACACCCACAGGCTTCCTGGACGGTTTGAAATCTGGTGAAACGAGGGTCCTGAGCCTCGATTTAAGCCATCAGCGGTGCCCATGACAGCCACCTCCCCCTGTCCTTCATGCTGTCACACTGACTTGAAAACTGCTAATGGCCTGGGGCCATCAGGCAAGAATTCCAGCTGCATTACCATAGTGGACAGCAGGGGGCAGTCTAGTGCAAGGAACAAAGCACAGGTTGGGCCATCAAACAGATGCCCATTTGGCTCTCTTGTCACATGGGGTGGATGACCTCTGGCTAGCTCCTCAACCACCTAAGTCTCTGCTTTCCAACCTGATAAATTGGGATGATGACACTTTATTAATGTGTTGATGTGAAAATTTTATGAAATAATGTGCTATCTTCCAGACTGGCTATGTGACAGAATCACTTAGGACACTAGCTACACATAAAGATTCTGGGTCCCTATCTACTACAGCTTGTAAAAACAGAACCTCTGGGAACAGGATGGAGAAACTGATTTTTTTTTTTAAGATTTTATTTATTTATTTGACAGAGAGAGACATAGCGAGAGAGGGAACACAAGCAGGGGGAGTAGGAGAGGGAGAAGCAGGCTTCCTGTGGAGCAGGGAGCCCATTGTGGGGCTCAATCCCAGGACCCTGGGATCACGACCTGAGCCGAAGGCAGACGCTTAACGACTGAGCCACCCAGGCGCCCCCGAAACTGATATTTTTAAAGAACTCCGCAGATTAGTTTGACCTCAGTCAAAACATTCAACCTGAATCTTGAACAGTGTCTGACAAATCCAAATGGAGGATTTTTGCAAAATAATTGCCTGGACATTTCAAAATTGTCAATATATGACTTTTTCTTAAAGGTGATTAAGGATGGGGACACCTGGGTCTCTGATGGAATATTCCAGTAGATCCTGGCTCCAGGCTGTAGGTTCTGGCCGAGTCGGTTAAGTGTCTGCCTCTTGATTTTGGCTCAGGTCATGATCTCAGGTTCGTGATCTAAGTTGTGAGATCAAGCCCCATATCAGGCTCTGTACTCAGCTTGAAGTCTGCTTGAGATTCTCCCTCTCCCTCTGCCCCTCCTCCCTGCACGCGCACACGCACGTGCACACACACACACACACACACACACTCTCTCTCTCTCTCTCTCAAATAAATAAATCTTTTTTTAAAAAGGTGGTTAAAGACAATGAGATGCTTAGGGGAAAGCATATCAACATCTCCAACTTACTTTGAAATGCGTCAAAAATACAGATGGATGGAGAGCTATCTGATAAAGCAAGTGGAGTGGAATAGGAGTGAGAAAACCGAGGCAGTGGGTATGTGGATGTTCACTATAAAATTGTTTTAATTTTCCAGGGTCTAAAAAGTTTAATAATGAAATATTGGGGGGAAAACAGGTACAGTGTGGGAGAAGAATTTCTAAATCAAGGGTCTGCTTTAGCCCAAATTCGGCCCACCACTTGCTTTTGTAAATAAAGTTTTATTGTAACACAGCCATGCCCATTTAGTTACACACTGGCTACGGCTGCTTTTTTGTTACAGTGGCAACACTGAGCAGTTACAACAGAGATCATCTTGGGTTTCAAGGCTAAAATATTTACCATCTGGCTCTTTATAGTACAAGTTCGCAGACCTCTGTTCTAGATTAAGTCACTTAAGATATAGGGCAACTAAGTACTCTGGGTGATCCTGGAGTGTGTCCTGGGTTTAAAACAAACTGAAAACAAACAAAAAATTCAGCTTGAAAGAACATTATTGGGGCAACTGGGAAATTTTATTATGGACCATATATTAAATAACAGTATGACTACATCATGTTAAATTTCCTGAATTTTGAAATTATGCTGCGTTGTATAAGAAAATAGCCTTGTCATCAGAACCACTCGCTGAAGTATTTTTTTTTTTAAGATTTCACTTATTTATTTGAGAGAGAGAACACGAGAGGGGGGATGGTCAGAGGGAGAAGCAGACTCCCTGCCGAGCAGGGAGCCCGATGCGGGACTCGATCCAGGGACTCCAGGATCATGATCTGAGCCGAAGGAAGTCGCTTAACCAACTGAGCCACCCAGGTGCCCCTCACTGAAGTATTTTGGAGTAAAGAGGTATGTGTCCAGAAACCTGTCCATATCATCTCTTAATGATAAAGAAAATGTACCCGTGCACATTCGTGAATATAGAAATATATATGACATGTAAGTATGGGGAGAAAGTTGTGGCAGGTTATTAACAACTGGGGAATGTTCACTGTCCTAAAATAACTTTTCTATAGGTTGGAAACTATTCAAAATAAAGATTGGGGGGAAACGAAGAGGTCCCTGAATGTGCAGTCGGCAGCAAAGCTTGGGGAACACTAGAATGGTGTGGGAACGTGCTAGGGCAGGGCCTGGCACACAGTAGGTGCTCTGTGAACAAAGGCAGTCCAGGCCTGGGCAGGGAGGGCAGTTAACAAAACTGTGTGGCTAGTGGGATAACCAAGCAACTAGTTGGCAAATGGAACAATCAGTCACTCATTCATTAGTCAACATCTTTCACTGAGCACCTACTATGTGCTGGGCCCTGGGCCGGGTGCTGGGCATTCCTGATTTGGGGAAGAGGGGCAGACAGGGAAACAGGTCATGGTAATGGAGGAAGGGGGGCAGTGCCAGCCTGGGCCTGCCATCTACCCCCCACCCAGGACCCCCAAATGCTACATGCAGGCCAGATGCATGACTGGGGGCTGTCCTGGGGGTTCCGGGGGGGAGAGGATTCGCGGACAAGGGCGGGAAGACATGCAGAGACCCTGGGCCATGGGCAGAAGCTGGGGCACCTGGGAGGCGGCACTGGTTCAGCTCAAAGGGCTATGCCATGTGATCTGGCTGCTGGGAGCATGCCAGGCCGGGTGAGGTGGCGCCAGGCGCCAGGCACGGGGCGGGCCGGCCTCCCCCGCTCCCCGGGGTCTTGTGGGCCCAGCTGGGGGCTGCGGGCCTGGCCCAGGAATGTTAAGCCTGGGGATGTTTGAGAAAGCCGGAGCCAGGGATTTCCGAGGGCAGCCCAGCGGGGCCTGCGCACAGACGGGGATGTGTGAGCGCTCCCCGGCGGGGCCCGGCCCGCATGGCCCCCGCCCGCCTCGGGCAGGGCATCTGGAACCAGTTAGGGCTCAGGGGCGGCCGGGCACAGTTACCTTGGCTGAGGCTGAGGCTCTGCTGGGGCAGCGGCCCAGGAGGATGGGGAGGCGGTGCCGGCCGGAGACCTGAAGCTCTTTGCTGGAAGGAGAGAGAGGGCCTGAGGCCTGGGTTGTACCATTTATTAATTTGTATTTGAGGCCTAGGATACATTTCGTTTGCCAGACCAAGAAATGCTCGTCCAGGTCCTGCCCCCAAAGGTCAAGGTTACTTAATTAGCTGTGTGACCTTGGGCGAGTTACTTTGTTTCGCTGCACCTTCCTTCCCACATCCGTGCAGTGGGGCTGTAGGGGGGCTTGGGGGGGGGCTGGGGGTTGGAGGTCAGTGCACAGCAGGGGCTCCGCTGATGTCTCCCTCACCCACCCTTCTCTTCTCGGGGGGAGGGGGCCCCCAGAGCTACAGAGAACCCCTCACCGGAGCGCCTGGCTCTGGCCACACATGTCAAGGACCAGGCTGGCTTGAGAATCACAGGTGAGCTGTAGGGAAGAGCACATCTGTTCCTCTGCCCACAGCTTCTGGAACACGAGCTGAGGAAGGAGCAGGCTGTGAGGTGTGGGGAGTGAAGGGGCCCGGGGACCCTCCCAGGCCTCACTCTGCAGCTTCCCCCCGGCAGCCCGGATTGCACCCCACCAGACCCGCACCCCAGACATCAGCAAAGAATGAGCTCCCCCACATCTCCCCACCACCGGACCAAGGCTAGGAAAAGGGGGTTTAGAGGAGGTCAGGGAGAGCGGGAAACGAGCCTGCTGGGTCGTGGGGACAGTGACAAGGACTCGCTGCGTGAGGGGTGACTGGGCCTCTGGGAATGGCCTCTCCTCACGGCAGAGTGGAGTGTGGGCAGGGCAGTGCTGGTAACCCGAAACAAGAGGTTGTGAATAAAGCTTCCAGAAGGTGTCCTGACTAGGCGACCTTGCACCAAGTGACAGTGACCAGGGCCTGGCCCCATTCAGGGGGCCACAACAGATTGCCCTTCTCGGAGGTGGGAGGGCATCATGGGAAAGGGCCCGGGTACCAGCCTGAGTCCCTTTTGCTGCCTCCTTGCTACGTGACCTTGGGCCGGTGACACGCATGCTCGCGTGTGACCCACAGACGGTGAAAAAGCACCCCGAGTGTGTTCACAGTGTGAACGCTCTCCATCCTCCCAAACCCCGTATTATCGGGACAGTTATCAGCCCCATTTCGTGAGCAGACTGAGGAATCTGCCCGAGGCCCCACAGACAGAGTCAGAGCTGGGATCTGGCGTCCAGAGCTGGGATTCATAAGAGCTAGGCCACCTGCTCCTCGTGGGGTGCTAGGAGGAGGAACTGAATCAGGGCACAGAAAGCCCCCAGGTCGGCACTGAGCACGGAGCAGGGGCTCCACCAACTAAGCTGGGCTTTGGCCCGAGTGGACAAGCAGGAGGGCGGCGAGCACGCAGGGCGGGGAGCTGGAACCCGGGCCGTGCCCACAGCCCGCGGCCGGGACTACAGAGATGGCTCGGCAGACGCTGCGGACAGCTGTTAGCATCACCAACAGCCTCTACAAACTGTGAAGTGCCCAAGAGACACAGCGCAAGAGCATCTATCCGTCATGCATAGTAGGTCCCCGGCACGCTGGGGAACTGGATGGAGTGGACGGAATTAGCGGGGAGCCCAGCCTGGCCTGGGGGGCCCACCCACTCCTCACCTGGCTGGTCAAGGGCAGGCCCAGCCTCTGGAGAGCAGGGGCCGTGTGGCTGGCGTTCACCGCCAGCTCCAGGGAGCCATTTGTCGGCCAGGACACCAGGCCTGCCACGTCCACGCTGACGCCACCATCCCCTCCGTGGAGGGCCACGCTGGCTCGGGTCTGGGTCTCTAGGGGCAGAGAAGGGCAGAGGCTGCTGGGGACTCGGTTCACCTCCCTGTGCATGTGGGATCAACGCCAGGCAAGGCGTTCCCTTCTCTGAGCCCCTGGGACTTCAATGGTCAGGCGGCGCGGTCCCCCTCGATGATCCTGGCCTGGCCACCTCCTCTTCCCAGGGTTGCTGCTGAGGCGACACCTCTGAGTGCCCACCTCAAGTACCTCCCGACCCTTCCTTCTCCCTCCCTGGGGACGGTCAGCCCGTGACGGCAGGGCCTTTAGTCTGTTCCCTGCTATGTTCCCAGCACTTGGCACAGCTCTGGACACACCGCAGGGAGTGAGGAAACGGATGAATGAATACTTCTCTCCAGGTTTATCAAACATCCGAACAATACCAAATGATACTGACCTGCAGCCCACCTGGCCCAGGCTGGAGGTTCACCACCCATCCCGCCCACCGGGGAACCTCCAGGGCCCTGCCGCCTAGCCGACCACACCTCCACGTGGCGGACAGGTAAAAACCCTCCAGGAAAGGTGATTCTAGGAGCTTTGTTCTTCTTATTTTTGGACTTAAATCCCCCTTGCTACAGTAGGAAACAGTTCTCCAGGGTAAAGAGGTGAAGCCTAGCCTGTGTCAGAGGCCAGGTTCCCTGGGAGGGGGGGGGGCGGGGAGGAGGGGTACAGCTCACAGCTCCGGACGGTTACACCTGGCCCAGCACCATCACCTGCCATTTGGGCCCATCGGGGCGGGTGGTGGTCTAAGCCTCGATTTCCTCATCAATAAAGAGGGCACAGCCTGCCCACCTTGAGTGACGTTGCCAAGGTGAACAGAGATAACACATCTGCGAACACCTGCCCATCGGGCATACACATCCCAGGAAATGTTCTCTTTCCTTCCCTGAGCAGTGTTCAACCACATACACCTGCTGTGCGTGGGGCCCGAGGAGGAGGGGACACACATTGAAGGGGGCCCCCAGTCTCCATGCCTGGGGATGTTTCAGACTGTCAGGGACACCAAGAATGTTGGAAAGGGACACTAAGAAAATGCCCCCCAAGGGGCTGGGACAGCCAACCGTGGGCAGCAGTGTGGAAGTGAGACATCTCCCTGGCTGCAGGTGACCACACCAGACCTCTCAGGGCCAGGAACTGGGTCATCCTTTACCCACCCATCATTTACCCATCATGTCCCCAATAAGCCCTTCCTCAGAGCAGTCTGTAAAGTCAGTCCCCCTGGCTGATCCAGGTTCCCACTCAGCCCTCAGGGGGCTGAAGGCCAAGGATGGAAAAGTTTGAGGCCAGGAGATGATCCAAGTGACAAGGGATTCCCCCAGAGGTCCTGATCTCTGCATTCTACACAAGGGTCAGAGGGTGCCTCTGGAGTCATAATGCCTGGATTCAGGTCCTGATCTCATCGTTCAATGGCTCTGTGGCCTGGGATAAGTGACTCAACCTCTCTGAGCTTCCATTTCTCCCCTGCAGAATGGGGACAGTTACTAACCCCTACCTCATAGATTCATGAATTCATTCAACAGATGTTTAATTGAATACCTACTATACTCCACTCTGCAAACAGGCAAAAATCATCCCTGTCCTTGTGGAGTGTACATTCTAGTGTGGGGTGGGCAGAAGACAGGTAATGAGAAATGGAGGTACTGAGTAAGTAAAGTCACATTATGTGTTAGAGCAACCAAGCCAGGAACAGGGATGGGGGGAGCCCGAGGGGTGTGGGGGTACCAATAAATAGGGTGGGAGCGGAAGGCCTCACTGAGAAGATGACGTTTGAAAAATATCTGAAGGCGGCGAGGGATTGAGGCAAGCAGATGTACAGGGGAACAGCCTGTGCAAAGGTCCTGAGGCAGGAGCCAGCCTGATGTGTTTGAAGACTAGCAAGGAGTGAAATAAGCAGGGGCTAGAAGATGGGGTCAGAGAACTGAGGGTGTGGATCCCGGGATCCTGAGGGCTCAGAAGTCCCACTACGGGCTTTGAACTTCCCTTGGTGTGAATGGATGGCTGAGCAGATTGACTGAGCTCCTGTGTATGGAGAGCTTGCCTGGTATGCAGTAAGCCCTCCATCAACTCTGGCTCTCATTACCTTCCCGCTCCATTAGAGGTTAAACTGTTTATCCCTAAAAATTATGTTGAAGCCTAACCGCTAGTTCCTATGAATGTGACCTTATTTGGAAATGGGGTCCCTGCAGAGATCAGGTTGAGATGCGGCCTTGCTGAAGTAGGGAGGGCCCTAATCCAATGACTGGGGACCTTATAAGAAGAGAAGACGGGGGCGCCTGGGTGGCTCAGTTGGTTAAGCGACTGCCTTCGGCTCAGGTCATGATCCTGGAGTCCCGGGATGGAGTCCCGCATCGGGCTCCCTGCTCGGCAGGGAGTCTGCTTCTCCCTCTGACCCTCCCCCCTCTCGTGTACTCCCTCTCTCTCATTCGCTCTCTCTCAAATAAAAATAAATAAAATCTTAAAAAAAAAAAAAAAAAAAAGAAGAGAAGACGGACAGACACAGAGGCAGAGATCAGAGGGATGCGGCCACAAGCCAAGGATCAGCTGGGGCCTCTGGGAGCTGGAAGAAGCAAGGAAGGATTCTCCCCATAGAGTCTTCGGCAGGAGCATGGCCCTGCAGACACCCGGCCTCCAGGACTGTTAGAGATTATACATCTTCGGCAAGCCTAGACAAGGAATACAGGCTGCCCCTGGAATCAGGCCTTCAAGGGCAAGGATGTTCCGAGACTGGTGAGCAGGCTCCGGGGTGGGGGGAGCTAGCCCTCCGGTCCGGGGGCCGTGCCCTGGGCGCCTTACCGTGTGTCTGCAGCTTGGCGCTCAGGCGGGCCTTGCCCGGGAGCCCGGCCTGCAACAGGCTCACGCTGTTGTGCTCACTCCAGGCAGCGAGCTGCAGGTGCCCAGCACGGCGATAACAGCTCACGGAGTAGTTCAGGGAGGTGGGCCCTGCCGAGATGCGTCCAGAATGCTCAAAGCTGGAGCCGCCGCTGGGAACGTCCACAGAAGCCTGGAATGACACAGAATGACACAGAAGCCTGGAATGACAGACCCATAGTGCTGCGGTGGGGGGGCGGGGGGGAGCCGAGACCCCGTTGCAGGAGCCAGTTTAAGGAAGAACAAGGTTACATGCGCTGTGTTGCTGGGTGGGGCGTGCTGGCCCCAGAGTGGCTGCCTATAGCTATGGGGTTTCCATCTGGGGTGGGGAGAAAGTTCTGGAATGAGAGAAGGGTGGCACACCATTGTGAATGGACTAAGCGCCCTGGATCTTTAAACACTTTAAAATACTTAAAATGGTAATTCTTCTATGTATTATACCACAATAAAAAAGTTGGCAAAATATACGTAACTTTGGAAGATTTTTTCTTTTTCTTTTTTTTTTTAAAGATTTTATTTATTTATTTGAGAGAGAGAGAATGAGAGCGAGCACAAGAGGGGGGAGGGTCAGAGGGAGAAGCAGACTCCCTGCCGAGCAGGGAGCCCGATGCGGGACTCGATCCCGGGACTCCAGGATCATGACCTGAGCCAAAGGCAGTCGCTTAACCAACTGAGCCACCCAGGCGCCCCCTTTGGAAGATTTTCGACAGGGCATGAGCTCTCTAAGTCCCCCAGCAACCCACCCAACCCATTTCAGCTCTCCGCCTGGCCCCCGAAGGCTTTGCGTTTGCGACCTCTGCACCCCATCCGGGCACGCAGCATAAAGCCCCCTGCTGCGTGACGTCAGCCACTTTGTAAAAGCAGGAAGAGTTGCCCCAGCCTTCAGTGATGCTGGCTGAGCACCTACTACGTGCCAGGCCCAGTTCTGCACCTAGAGATGCAGTCCTGCACGAAACACAGGCATGCGGAGCCCGTGCAGCCCGGACGCCAGCTGTGGGAGACCAGACCAGGACGAGGCAGAAGGCATCGTGGGCCCGGTGATGGGAAGATGATGGAAAAGAGAAAGCGATCAGGGAGGGTGTGAGATTTTAAGAAATACCCAGGCGTAGGTATATACGTCTCTGTCCCCAGTTCCTGCTCATACTTGGTTTGTGATCCCCGTTCCCAACACAGAGCTCCCACCCTTGCGAGCTCCCCAGTGAGTGGGGGAGAGGAGCATCTTACATGGAGCTCCTAAATCCCTTAGAATTTCCTGGGCGAGACAAGCGCCTTTTGTTCTACTGAGGTGACTCTCGGTGGGCTCCCCAGAAAGACCAAGCCCTGGTGAGAAACTGGAGCCTTCAGCCCCGGCCCCCATCCTCAGGGAGGGGAGGAGGGGCTGCAGAGTGAGTTAACGATCCACCATGCTCATGGGATGAAGCCTCCATGAAAATCCCTCAACTGTGAGGCTCTGGGGCTCTGGGGTGGGCTGAACACATCCATGTGCAGGGAAGGGGGCGCCGGCAAATTGGTTGTGGGTGGGTTGGCGGGGGTAGTCCCCATCCAGCTGGTCCCAGAAGTACTCTGAGTGGCAGAGGAGAAACAAGGGCATCTTTACAGAGGGTCCCAGGGGGTGAGCTCAGAGAGGGGACAGGACCAGATCTCTGCACGAGGCTTTCTGGGGCCAGGCTGGCGTCTGAGGAACTCAAATGGATGTGGAGGGGCTCTGGGTAGAGACCCAAGGAGGCAGGGGTGGAAGGCGGGGGCCCAGCTAGGTGGCTGGACCCCAGGTGTGACCTCAGGTGGCCTGGAGCAGGTGACAAAGCTACAGGTGGGGAGAAGGGGTCGGGCTCCAGCAACATCTGTGGAAGGCGGGGTCTGGTGTGTGTGAATGAAACAGGGATGGAGGACGACACCGAGGGTTTTGCCTGCGCTGCTGGGGGGGATGAGGGGAAATGGGAGGGGCAGGGGACCAGGCCCCAAGTGGGGATACACAAGCAGTTGGATCTGCAGGTCTGGGGCCCAGGGGAGGGAGCAATGGGGAGCTTCACTGAATGGATGGTACCCAAGTGAGCCACTGGCGCAGCCCGTCCAGGGAGAGAGCGTGTGGAGGCGGCTAAAAAGGGGGTCGAGGACAAGCACTGGGTCCGCAGGGAGGCTTTGGAAAAGGAGAATGTGCAACCATCCCAGGGCCGTGGTTGGGCTAGGGAAAGGAGCGAAAGGAGCGTTATCCCCAGTTTCCAGAGGAGGAGACTGAGGCTCCGAGGAGGTCTGAACCTTATTCCACTACCCCCTTGACTCCACCATCCTTCCAAGAATGTTTGTTGAATGCATGCATGCACGCACGCACGGATTTCCATTACCACTGGCGCTCGCCGAGGCTGACCTGCAGGCCCAGCTTGTCCTCCACCCACAGCGTCCGCAGCACGGGGATGTTGTGCTCGAGGGTGTAGTCCAGGGAGATGTGCTCTGGCTGCTGAGTGAACATCAGCTCCTCGGACACCTGCCGGCGTGGACGACTGAGACCCGGGCCTTGGGCTGGGCTGTCCCACAACCCCCAAGACCCCCCAGCTCCCAGAGGCCCCACTCGCAGAACTGCACACCTGTCTGCCGTCCAGTGCGACCTGCAGGGAGCGTCTGTAGCTGGGTCCATGGCTCTCGGTGGCCAGCCCCAGCAGCACCCGGGCGGGGAGGCCCGAGGGGCTGGGCTGGGCCGGGCCATGTATGAGCAACATCTCCACCTCCTGCTGGCTCTGCAGAGCAGTAAGAGAAACAAAAACTCAGTGCCTGGGAGGTGGCCAGGCTTGCCCACAGAGGGGAACATAAACCGCTCAGAATTAAATCAAGCCTCCTGTCTCCCCCTCCCTGTTGCCAACTGCACCGTAGAAAAACAGGAGAATTTCCAGCAAATGCAGTGAGTGCATTTGGGATGCCTGATAGAAAGTAAGCGGCAAGCACAAAATTCACTGGGGAGGAGCCCAGGAAAAGAACCTCAGAAAGAAAGTCTTCGGCGAGGTACAGGGAGGGACCCACAGAATGTTTGAGAAGGACACGCCTTGCAGGTTGGGTTGCAGCAGGAAGGAAAAACACCTGGCCCCGAGACAAATAAAAACTCCCGAGACATTCAGATAATGCTCACAGAATGACGTGCAGAATGACTTGCAAGGTTGCTCCACACACTTAAGTGATGGTTAGTGACTCTCCCAGGGAGCTCTGGGAAGGCCAGCGAGTTCACATGAAATCAAGCAGGCAGAGCTGAACCTACACACACCCTCTGATCTAGCGATTCCACTCGGTGCGTGTTCATTCAAACACATGCAAGCGTGCTTGAGGCAGCGCTATTTGTAAGAGGCAAAACCCAGACACTTACATCCCTAAGAATTGAAAGCAGGGTCTTGAGAAGGTATCTGCGTGACCGTGCTCATAGAAGCGCTACTCACAATAGCAACCTGAGCATCGGCTGACGGATGATGGTATTACTCAGCCTTAAGGAAGGACATTCTGACACCTGCTACAACATGGATGAACCTTGAGGACATGACACTCAGCGAAAGAAGCCAGTCACAAAAAGATCCTGTGTGATTTCACCTGTAGGAGGTACCTTGAGTAGTCAAACCCAAAGAGACAGAAAGTAGAAGGGGGGTTGCCAGGGGCTGGGGGGAGCAGGGAATGGGGAGTTACTGTGTCATGGGGATAGAGTTTCAGTTTTGCAATGTGAAGAGAGTCCCAGAGATGGATGGTGGGGAGGGTTGCACAAGAACGTGAATATTCAGAAGACTAATGAACTCTATACTTACAAATAGTTAAGACGGTAAATTAAAAAAAATTTTTTTTTAGGTATTTATTTGTCAGAGAGAGAGCGCACAAGCAGGGGGAGTGGGAGAGGGAGAAGCAGGCTTCCTGCTGAGCAGGGAGCCCAATGCGGGGCTCGATCCCAAGACCTGATCATGACCCAAGCCGAAGGCAGACACTTAACTGACGAAGCCACCCAGGCATCCCAAGATGGTAAATTTTATATTTTACCACAATAAAAATTTTTAAAACAAAATAAAAACAGGTACATGATTAATTCATAAGATGTACAGTAAAAGGATGACACCACCCAAAAGCTAATTGGTAGAACAGACAGATGATTTATAATATATGCGCACTGTGGAATACTATACAGCAATGAGGTACGTTTGGCAACAAGCCATGCAACCTCACAAACATAATGGGTTGTTGTTTTAAGATGTGCTTCTTTATTTGAGGGGAGGAAGGAAGAGGAGAGGGAGAGAAAGTCTTAAGCAGACTCCACGCTGAGCGCAGAGCCCGACGCGAGGCTCGATCTCACCATCCCGAGATCACGACCTGAGCTGAAACCAAGAGTCAGAGGCTTAACCGGCTGAGCCCCCCAGGCGCCCCACACAATGTTTATTTGTGTTTAATTTTAATTTGTTTAATAAATTTGTGTTTAATTAATGTTTGACAAGAGAAGGGAGCTGTGAAAAGGAACACGCTGTGTGCTTCTACAGACGTGACAGTCAAGAACGTGCGTGGGGACTCCTGGGCCTGGCTGGTGAGTGGAAGGGGGCCAGAGGGGGGCTTCTAGGGTTCTGGTCACATTCCGTGCTTTGAGGTAGGTGGTGTTTGGTTTGCGAAAATTTCACCAAGCTGAGCATTTTTCATCTCTGCACCCTCCTTATAGTATTTATGTTGCACTTCGATAAAACTTTTTTTTTTTAAGCAAACAAGCAAGAGAAAAGCGGGGGACCGAGGGGCTTCTTCTTGGAAGCCTCATTCTCCACGTATGGGTCCTGAGCTCCCATCTCCCGGGGCCTCTTTGGAGCTAGGAGAGTGCCTGGTGCTTCTCCTCGGGCCTCAGCACCCCTTCCCTGGCCGCCCCAGGCACCCCGACGCCCGTGCCCTCACCTCTGTAGCCTTGAGGATGAGCAGCCCTTGCAGTGTACTATTGTCGACGGCGACCAGAACCCAGGTGTCCACAGCCACAGGGTTCACGGCCACGGTCCCGGAGCTGTTGACTCGGCCTGGGACCCCCAGGGCCTGGAGGGGTTTAAAGAGACACGAAAGCAGGGCGCCTGGGTGGCTCAGATGGTTAAGCGTCTGCCTTTGGCTCAGGTCATGATCCCGGGGTCCTGGGATCAAGTCCCGCAT